CGAGCCCTGTGTCGGGCTCTGTGCTGACAGCTCAGGGCCTGGAGCCTGCTTCGGATTCTGTCTCCCTCTCTCTCTGCTCCTCTCCCATTCGTGCTCTGTCTCTCAAGAACAAGTAAATATTAAAAAAAATTTTTTTTAATCAAGAATTAAAGAAGAAAAAGAAAAGCTTATACTCTAAGGAAGAGGGGAAAAGGAGAAACCTTTACTATTCATGAAGTCCCCTGGTCCCTACCACCTCCACATTGCTATTAGTATTTATTATTGCTGCTGTTGTCACTGTTATTACTCCAGATCTTGGCTCCTTACTCTTTCTTTTCTCATAACAGACAAATAAGAGAGAAGTCATACAATCACATGCCTTGACTGGGCTATCATTGTAGAGCCAAGAAAGAAACTCGGTAGAGTTCCAGTAAGTATCAGGACATTCCCACTCTCCATCAGACCAAATCAAGTCAGGTTCATACCTGAAAGATACACAATTAGGAAAGTTTATCATCTGAATCTGTTCGCAGTAAGGTCTTACGGATCTATTTTGCAACAAATATAAAAATTTCTCCCGTTTTGAAAGTACCAAAAAATTACATGGTGCAGAGAATGTGGAAAACTAAAGAGACAAAAACAACAGCTGTAACTGTTATGGTTCCTCATATAACCGCTGTTTAATACACAATATTTTGGTACATTTCCTCCTAATCTTTTTTCAATGTCTTCCGAAAAAAGAGTCGTAATCAGTATATATACAATTTGATTTCTTTCCAGCAACTACTTCTGATCAAGAGTGGTGCTCCAGAACTGTAGGATTAAGGTGTCTGCTTTTAAGATGTATTAAGCGCGTCGGGGCGCCTGGGTGGCTCAGTCGGTTAAGCGTCTGACTTCAGCTCAGGTCATGATCTTGTGGTCTGTGAGTTCTAGTCCCGCATCAGGCTCTGTGCTGACAGCTCAGAGCCTGGAGCCCGCTTCGGATTCTGTGTCTCCCTCTCTCTCTGCCCCTCCCCCACTCACAATGTCTCTCAAAAATGAATAAATGTTAAAAAAAAAAAAACTTCAACTATTCCACCAAATGCGCTGTTTTTGCACAACTGCCATAGCTTCAACTATAAAGGATCTTTTGAGTCCACTTGAGCCACAGCTGCACCTTTCACATATTGACACTCTGAGCTCTATGCGCGTGAGCACACGCACCTATGAGGTAAGCATGATTATTCCCATTTAGAGAGCAAGAACCTGATGCTCAGCAGGGCAGTGTGTTTTAAGTGGCAAAGCCTGTAAGTAATAGGAGCTGAAACTCAAGTGCAAATTTACCCGATCCTGATCCTGTGCTGTGCTCTGTAAGCAGGACAGCAAGTGGATTTCAGGAAAAAGACTGCCTGTCTGAGAGGCAAGATATAACGCAGGTGGCCTGTGTGGTACCGTGTATGAGAAACTGTATTAGGCACTTTATACTCATCATTACGTCATTAGTTTCCACAACAGCCCTGCAGTGTCTATTAACCTCCTTTCTCAGGTAAAGAAACTGAGATCTAGACAGATTAAGGAGTTTGTTCAAGGCCATACAGCCAGCAAGAAAAAGAACCGGGTATCAGATCCAGTTCTGTCGGGACTCCGAACCTCTGCGGGTCTCTTACAACCGTACTATTTCCTTAGGGAAGTCATCTGGACGCAAGGAGTTTTGTTTTTGTTTTGGTCTAAAATGAGAGTCCAGGCAGAGATGGCTGCCGCTAGAGTCTTAAAGGTTCACCGTCCTCTACGAGGTGGCACGCCCAGGTGCGAGAAGGGCGAACTAGAAATAAAACATGGTGAAGACTAGTGATGAACCCCAATGTGAAAGTGATCGTTTTAATGATAATAATGATAACGCCACCCTTTTTCTGTACAGGCAAGGTGACAGATACTTTTCACATATCGTTCTGAGCCCTATGTAAAAGGCATTATTTCCCTACTTTACATGGTGAGAATCTGAGGCTCAGAAGGGTAGTCATTTAAGGTTTGTAACAAGAGCCAGGGTTCAAATGCAAATCTGCCGGACGCCAAATCCTACGCAGGGTTCTTTGGGCCTTGTTGCCCCTCTGCAAGGTCCCGACAGAGAAAACTACATGTAAAGAGGGACTGAAGTTTTGACTTAACCACCATCCTTGGTTTTGTTCATTTTAACCTATAAAGACAATTATGACCACATTATGGGAGTTTTGAGAAGTAGAGGAGGAAAAAAATATACTCTGTCTTAATACAAACCACCATTCTTATTTTGATGTCTTGTAGATTTTTTTCCATAGTCCTTCCTTTCCCCTTCCTCCCAACTTAACAGTATCCTATAGGAAGCTCTAATTTCACTGATAAAAGTCATAAGACCAAAAAGAATTTTTTTTTTTTTTTTTTACCTGTAAACAAGGTCGTACAGTTCTGGCATTGTTTTTGCATGGACAAAATGCTGTGTTTTGAAGCCATTTTTCTTATCAAGTAGGTAGAGTGGGTGGAACCATTCTAAAAGTGAGTGATAGAGTCCATAACGCATGTTCCTGAAAAAGAAAAACAGAACAGTACCTGTCCAGTAAGCAAAGAAAAAATAATTTAGTTTAAGAAAAATCAGTGACAGCATTTTACATCTCAGCGAAACTCACCCGTAAGGGTATGCAGGGCAGTGGGATCCCAAACCATTTCCTTAAATTATGTCTTATCATTAACTTAAACAAGATGATTGGGTTTTTGATAATACACATGACTATTTTTTATACATAACTATCTTAACACCAAATGTTATTTAAACCACATTTTATCTATGTCCATTATCTCAGTAACGACACATAGTTCTTTTTTAAGAACTGTTTTTCTCTGTCAGTCATAAGAAAGAATACATATTGTAAAGATACTGGAAAATAGAAAAAAATATAAAGAATATCCAAAATCTTATCTCTCAGAAGTGATCATTAGTAACATTTTCTATTTAGTTGAAATTAATGAATACAGGTTTATTGTTTCATTTACCTAAGATTTACTAACAGTTCTTAACATTGAAATGTTGAGAATTCTTAGCCAAAATGAAAAAGGGTCAAAGTGACCTATTTTTGTACACAATAAAACTTGTTTTGAGTTCTAAGTGGTGAGTGTCACAGAAATGCTATACTCAGTAAGAAGTAAGGATAACATTGCAACCGCACAGATAAGGCAGAAAGAATTAGAGTTAAGTGTTTCATCATATGACCTGGGGCCTAACCGGGTACAAAGAAGGTAAAAATCAAGGATGGTAAAATCCAGATCTCATCAACATCTCAGAGTTTTACAGCAGGACTGTGAGCCAAGCACGGCATTGGGAGACTGAATATTGAACAGGTGACCAGAGTCAGTAAACGCTTTCTTTATGGCCACATAGCATTTTAGACTTTGTGGGCCTCACGGTCTCTATCACAACTCTGAAGTTGCAGCCTGAAGCAGCCCCAGACATAACCCATAAATGAGTGGACGTAACTGTGTTCCAATCAAACTTTATTTATACAAACAGGCAGCTGGCCTACCCCTGAAACAGGGCAGCAAGTTTACCAAATCACAAAAGAGCGGGATTGGGCAGGGGACAAATACTACTTTTCCTCTCTACAGGCAAACATACCTAGAATTGTAGGGCACAAAACCAGGATAATGGGGTTCAAAGCCCACTTGTACCATTTCCTAGCTCTTTGATCTTGGGAAGTTACTTTTTTTTTTTTTTTTAATGTTTAACGTTTATTTGAGAGAGAGAGAGAGAGAGAGAGAGAGAGAGAGAGAGAGAGAGAGAGAGAGAGAGAGAGCGCACCAGCAGAGAGAAGGAGAGAAAATCCCAAGTAGGCTCCCAGCTCTTGGCACAGAGCCTCATGTGGGGCGGGCTCCATCCCAGGAACAGTGAGAGCATGACCTGAGCCGAAATCAAGAGTCTGATGCTTAACTGACTGAGCCCCCCAGGCGCCCCTTGGGAAAGTTACTTCTTATTAAGTCGATAAATATTAGGAAGCATTAATTAGAATCAACCAAGCGGCTCCTTACCTCACTTTTTGGCTGCTCTAACTGCCCTTTTCAGTTCCCTCTGGATCTCATTCATCCAAACTTTCTCTGAATGCCTGCAAAGCTGTATGTTGACAGCTAAGGGGGACACAAAAACGACAGACCCAGTCCTTCATCAGCCACTAGAAAAGGCCTTGGGTTGCAAGGCCTTCCAGAAAGAATCCTTCACAGAGTGCAAATGAGGCATGGTGGGCTACTCTGGGTATCCTTCACCTAAACAAGGCCATGACCTTCTCTCACGGTATCATGAAAAGTTCAGGCATGAAAAGTGCTGGGCATCAGAGCCTGCTAATTCAAAGGCCAGGCTACTCGCTGAACGTAAACTTAGACGACACGTAAGATCGGAGAGAAATGGTGCATCAAAAGACATGAGAGAGTAACCATCTGTAGATACCTACCTCTTCTGAACAGCTTTTCCCAACTCACCAACCAAATCGCGATGGGGACCCACATCCTTGGAGTTCCAGTTCCAAGACACAGGACTTGGCCAGTTTGTGAAGCCTTCGTGATGCTTTGTTGTCAGGACTACGTACCTGTGGACATCAAAACTACATGAGCAAAGGAAGCAGGCGGCAGGCCACAAGCGTGAACTTACCCAGCATGCCTGAGGGTTTTAAAAATGGTCCGGAGAACTTGATTACAGAAACCGTACTTGCATGGGTAATTGCATTAGCGACACCCAGGGAGCTGCTGCAGTCACAAATCCCCATGGGGAGTTTTAGGAATGGAAGCAAACTTAAGGAGGACAATTCTTTAGTCCCCAGCCAAGGAGGACGCCCAGAGGGAAGGGAGGAGTAGATAAGGGAAAAGAAGTGCACCTTAGCTCTCCGGTTCTGGAAATAGCAGATGATAGAAAAGTAAAGGCAAAGGTCACCTGGATTGCCTCTCACAGAGGTGACAAAAGACCAAAAGAACTGGGGAGAAAAATGTCGAAATAACAACCAAATCACTCAACATCTCATTTGCTTTAATGGCAGAAAAACAGACGAAGCCTGCACGTGATAATTTAATCACTGGCTGTAGTAGGGAGCTCTAAGACTTGAAAGGCCAGATAGATAGTACTTCAGCCTTTGTGGCCCCCACTCCTCTCCGTAGCATATCCTTTTTCTTTTTTAAACCCTTTAAAATGTAAAAATCATTCTCATCTCATGGAACTTATAGAAACAGGCGGAGGGGACCCATCTCTCGGGCCACAGTATGCAGACCCCTGGTGTGGTGGAAAGAACCTTTGCCTTGGAGTCATGAGATTTGGATGCAGGACATTAGTTCCCTTCCTCTGTCTGGGCTAGTCACCTGGGCTACAAAATAAGGGGTCTGGACAAAGGATGTCTCCCAGATTTTAATTTTTTGTCATTTGTAAAGTATGGATCTCTAAAGCTCCCATTAGACAGTGACCACCTCCTCCATTTGGTCAAGCCTTATGTTCCCACACGTTTATTGGCAAACACTAGTAAGAGTCAGCTGTAATTTTTCTTTAGGACAAAAGAACTTATCCAAGAGAAACTAAAACCCAGAAAATGACTGAAAAGACAAGGTAAGGGTGGAAGGCCACTCTAAGCCAGGAGCCCGGAAACCTCCCTGCCTCCATTCTTACCCTCTTCCAACCTGCTTCCCTCCCGGCCGCCAAGCTGATTCTTCCAGAAGCTGAAGGGAACCGTCCCCTCACTTCACACCTGACTTCACACACTGCCCTCATGGATTAGTCCTTCAGGATTGGCCCCAGCCTTTAACAGCCTCTCCCTTCCCCATTTCAGCATGCCACACTCTCAGTTCTCTGCACCGACCACACTCAAGCTCCAACAGTTATCAAAACAGTTCAGACATTTCTTGAGCACTTTCTGTGTGCAGGGCACTGAGAAGAGCAGGTGAGTGAGAACTGGTACTGTTGTCCAAATGGACTGCACGCCAGAACTCCCCTCCCCTCCCTCTTCCCCTGGGAGATATTAAGGCTGAAACGAACTAAATACACCCCTTTCTATCACCATGGAAGGAGGCTGCAGGGAGGTAACAAAACTCCAGACCAATGGATTAAAATTCTGGAATCCTGATTGTCTTGTTGACCTGGAAGGACATTAGGTATCAGAGCTCAATCGTCTCGATCAACAGGTGTAGACAAGGGGGCCTTCCAGCCCACCACCTCCCTGAAAGCTTTATTTTTTTCGAACCCCCCAGCAGACGCGCCTTCTCCTGATCAGGAGTGCTACATTCAGTTCTGCATCCTTCAGGAGGCAAATCACAGGCCCCGGGGGGACATTAAGTCAGCCGGGCAGCCGTGCGACCCGGGGACAGCGGCCTCGCCTCCCCGCCCCGCCCCCACTCAGTTCCCACCTGCCCAACGTCAGCCCGAGCCGGGAACGCGAGCTCCGCCGGTCCCCGCGGCGACACTCACTTGGCCCCGGCCGCCTGGAAGAGATCCGCCCAGCTGTCCGGGTTGAAGAAGCGCGCGGTGAACTGCGGCCCGAAGTCGGCGTAGCTGAAGCCGGGCGGGTAGTTGTCGCTCATGAACTGCTCGTACTGCGGCAGCCCCTCGCCCTTCCAGTGCCACCAGAACCACTCGCTGCCCCAGGCCGGCACCGAGAACACGCCCCAGTGCACGAACACCCCGAACTTGGCCTTGTCGAACCACTCCGGCAGCGGCCGGGAGTCCAGACTCTGCCAGTCCGGGGTATAACGGGGCTGAGGCCGGAACCCGCGCACGTATGCGGCTCGGAGCAGCACCGGCAGCAGCAGCAGCACCAGCCCGGCGCCCACCGCCCGCGACTTCATTTCGGAGAACCGAGTGGCGGACTCCGAGCCTCCTCTCCGCTTCTTAACGCGCAGGTGCGGGCCGCCCGGTTCCGCCTACTCTAACTAATGATTGGCTCGGAGGGGAAAAGGGGCGTGTCAACCTAGGCGGCTTGGCGAC